ATGAGAGTTCTTAGGCACTGCGCAGTAAGGGTTTTTTGGCAGCACAGTGAATGTTGTTCAGCGGCGCAGTAAATAAGAGACATTGCGCCATCTTGTGACTCCCAGGACGATTCTGGCCTCGTTCTTTTACTGGAAATTCAAACTGGGACACTGGGACCAAAGCACGAAGATTGGAGCCCACCATCAGATCAGCCAAATATTAATTTAAACACTCACTGCGCTGTCAAACAGCTCTCACCGCGCAGTGAAACAACTCTCATTGTGCAGTGTATAATGACTCTCATGGCGCAGTGTACGTGGCCTGAATAGTACACCATAGTCTTTCGGACATCACAATATACGTATGTCTACAAATGGGCAGGATTGAGTTTGTCGGGGCGTTTCTTTCCTACCTTGTCTCGGGTTACCAAATATATAACAGGCAGAGTGATGTTAATCTCGCCTTCAATGCTTACCCATCGCCCAATAATACACTATACACCGCGTTCTGCATGAAAACACCAGTGCGACAAATAAAGCTTGTGTTTCAAGGGCAAATCTTTGTGTGATGAATGGTAGCGATCTTTTGAAAATACTTGTACTTGCAAATTAAAGCCTGTTTGCTCCTGAAAGTTGTAACAAATTGCTGTGGAAGCTATACAACACCATACTTGTCTTCCTTCTCCACACTGGACGCAAGGGTAATTTTTTATTTTGGAGGCTGGAGAGTAGAAGTATTCACGGCAAATTAATACCAGTCTGTGGTGAGGAATTATTTACAGTTTGAAACATTTTCTTTCAGTTTTAAGATACATTGAAAAACCTCCGCCATTCCATTAAAAAAATGTTTTCAATCGAATGAATTCAGGCAACACCCTGGAAAATGGCGTCCACGAGAGTATTTGTGTAAACTGTCAACTTGCAGTGGCGGGTCAGTTTGTTTGGTCTATTCACGTGTAACTGACCATGAATGATGAGTGCTTTAGTCCCTTTTTATTAAAAACAGAATGCATGGAGAAATTTAATAACGGGTCACTCTTGGGGGAAACAAAAGCGGCATGACCTCGTTTCTGTGGCCCTGACTGGGTAGGCTTGCAGCCGCCGCTCGTTCCTGTGATTGTCATGAAAGGAGCCCATGAACGTCGTTCTGTCTGAAATCGTAAGAGTTTGTGTGTACCTGTTTACGAATTCGCCAAGGCCCCAGCACCACCCAGTGCACAGGGTATAAAGTACTCTCATCGGATGAGAGTCGCGAAGCGGCGGCCAGTCAGTTCATATCAGCGGAAATATGGATTTTCGAGGAAAATATTCCCAGAGAAATGGACGGGTGAGTACAAACTCGGTTACTTGTCATTTGACTCTGATGTTAGAATGGTTTAACACTGTACAAGTTTGGTATATACTACGTGACATGATAAGGTTTATTTGGGTTCGTCAGTACCATGCCGTGGAAAGTTACAGAATTTGTCGGGTTCGCTGACTATGAACATAGCCATGAGATACATCAATGAAAATACAACACCGCTGGAAGTTGTCGGCTGATGCGTAACGGCATGGAACTGCGTGTATCCATATATATCGTCGCGCGATTAGTTGTGACAAATTTGTTGATAATATATGCAAATCCATTATGTGTTGTTTGATCCATGATATAGTAGCCAACGGATAATGTATCGACAACGACGATATGTATCACAAACTGACTGATAATATACCGTCATTAAGCGATAATGTAAAATTTCTAACCAGTTAAGGTTCCATCACCTGCCCAACGGAATACGTGTATGTATCAGCCCACGATGTATCAGCTGACACCACCAGGTTCTCTTAAGAGGGCTGTTACGGACCACACCTTGATTAATTTTGCTTTTCAGAACCTAAAGTTAAGAAAGGAAGCATTTCACATGTTTTGTACGAAGTGACGACCATGGTGACCCCTGGGCAATTAGCCCAAATCTGGAAACAGTCCGTAGGAAACTTACAAGAGGCCATAGTTAAAAAACTTGGGCCGAACCTGTGGAAAAAGTGAGGATAAAAAATCAGTATCCTTTCTGCAAACAGTTAGTGGGCATGAAACCAGTGAAGAGGCCAATACCTGATCAAACATGGCTGAACGTGATGACAAAGGACAGAAAGCCTTTTGTCATTTTTTGTCAGAAAATAACCACTTCTAAACATTGAGTTATCTTTGACTGAAAGCTGCACAAACCATGGGCGTAAAACATATGGCAGGGATCCTCCACTTTTTAAGATGGGGGATGGGCTATTGAATCATCCTTTTGTGGTGAGCAAAAGTGAAGAATCTTCTGACTTCCAACGACTAGAATGCATTCAAGATCACTCAAAAAGGAAAGCGACTTTTTTAAGCCATAAATATATCATTCTGAATAGAACAGATGTACATCACTATCATAAACATTGCCCTCTGTATAGAGTCACGTCACGTGGCGTTCCCCTCCCCCACCCCCCGTTTTCAAAATTTTCATGGCCGGGCAAGTCATCCCCGCAGCCTTTCTCCATTCCCCCATCGCACCCCCCCCCCCTAATTTCTGGCAAAAATTACGCCACTGGCAAAAAGCCTATACAGAGCTTCGGACAAGGAAGCTTTTGACGAAATAGGCCTACAGCTTAAATCCGCTGAAAATGCTGCAAAAGAAGCCGCTTTTGTATTTCCTGAAGTGACCGTTAGTGACCACTAGGTGACCTTGAGCAAAATTCTGTTTACACCCTTTATACCAGGCTTGGTCTAGGAATGAATTATCAAGTTTGCCCGTAATCGGGTGAGGGCTGTGATAGATGCTTTTTATGAATTGCAATCAAATGACCGCTACTGACCGGCGAGATCGAAATTATGTTGTAACTAACGGAACTGAACCGCCGTGGGATGTATATCCTAACTGCTCTCCAAGTAGGAATATAACATTAACCTTTATTAATCCCCAGAATCATTAACTACTATCCAAACTTTTCCACTTTGAGCAGCTGCTTCATTGCTTATTGCAAAGCTATCTGAAGAAAGAGACAGAGAGAAAAATCTTCCCAAATTAATCTGCAACATTCACTCGTTTTTCTCTTAAAGGTCCATCATCAGTAGATTATTTCGGGTTGCTACGTTGTACGTTATACATGTACTGAATAAATTTTTGCAACTTCTTCAATATTTCAGAGTTTCTCCAACAATGGTTTTATACACGAAAACCACATCGACCCGTTCTACCAATACCAAGGTCCCGGAGGGCGTGCTATGACCCGGAATGCCCTACCGCCCTACGGCACCAGTCACCGGCTGGCATTTGGCGGTGACACGCTGACTGATGATCGTTGGAGCGGACAGAGATTCTGCGCGCGAATCGCACTCGTATTCTTCATAGCTTGCGCCATTGTTTTGACCGTAGGATTAGGGATCTTTGTTGCTCTCTATTTCGCAGGTAGGCACCGTAGGCCTATAAGGCAGTCATTATTTCTGTAAATTATACGCGAAAAAACTCAAAGCATTGCCTATTAATTATTGAACACCTAATATTGGACTATTTTACACCTGTTACTACCCATGACTTTATTGCAGGGTTGCCGGGTTTGGTTAAGGTCAGTACAGTCTCACCCACAGGTAGGCCTAATTCCATGTGACAATTTAGCGTAATATAATGTTGCTATTTATTTACTTGATATGCAAAGAATTTACAAACAGGCAAATTACACATGTAGATCACACCGAGAAGATGAAAGTCATCTCAACATAGAAACAATAGTTCTTCAGTATTTATCTAGCTTTTGTCTATAGGCCCTATGTAGTTTCCACATTTCGAATGAATCTCTTCTGTGGTTACCTTACTTCAAGTTGTTTCATCCATGTCTGTCTTCTTTGCAGCGTTGATCTTGAAGAGTGATCCCTTGCGTTGTTGTCTTTCATTTTCTTTTATTTCTTTTTTTTTTAGTTGGGATTACTTCTGGTACTGGGGACCCAGGAAATTCTGCTTTGTCCGGTAAGTGCAATTATACCAATTATAATCGCTCAATGGCAGAAATATTTAACCGTCACGCTGCCAAAACATGCCTTGCTGCTGCACAGCAGTCTAATGAAGTGGTCGCAGGCTTTGCTTACAAGCGCTAACGATAGCATCGACCCCAAACAATTGGACGATCCCGAACTGAAATTAAGTGCTGGCACGGGGAAAGTGCAGCCTGACATTACACTTAGGCCCATGACCATAATTGGGTAGACCACACATTATTGACTTCTATGATCAATTGGTATTGTAGGTCCAGTTACTGTGTTCATGACACTGACAATTCAGGACACGTTTCGAGATGAGTACAACAACCCAATGTCTGAGGGTTACCAGAATCTTCAAGATAAAGTTACAGCCACGGTAAAAATTTGATTTGAACTATCTTGTTAAAGACAAAAATGTAGGTATAGAGAGTGTTTAATTGATGCTTAGATTGTGAAGTACTGTTGTTGCTGGAAATGGGAGGGGGGGAAAGAGGGATGACTTACCCTACCATAAAATTTTGAAAAGCGGGACGGGGAATCATGACACCATGTGACTCTGTATAGAGGCTGATGTTTGTGATTCTGTTATGTTGTGTCAAGCAGAATCTCACAACAGAGTGGCATGACTTTTTACTCTGCTTCCTGTTTTAGTGACAGCATTTTCTGTTGCTGGGAAGTCAGAACAAATCTTCACAAAATGGGGATGATTAAATTGCCCAACCCCACCCCTGGAATTTATGCACATGTACACAAGCCTTATGCTCAGAAGGTTTGGACTTCACATAAGTAGTGAAAAGAGTGCTTTTAGTGGAAATACTTTTCAAATTAGTAAAACTTCCAAATTGCATTTAAAATATTATAGCATTCATTTTGTTAAGTCTGAGAAATTTTGATTGACAACAGGTTGGCAACTTAATAATAGGAGACAACAATCTTAGAGGCGTTTACCGGCAAGTGACTGTTCTTGGCTTCAGGTGAGATTGAAGAAATCTTGAATTAGAAAATAAACTGAACACTTTTTTAATGAAAATTACTGAACCCTGCCTGAGGCCTCAATCAAAATTTAGATTACAAATTTATCCTGGAATACGGGCGATCCACAACACTGCGCCTCTGAAAATTCGCAATGCGTTGATTAATCTCAATGCGTGAAATCTGTCCACCCAATGCGCATGTGGAAAGGGTCAACAGATTTCGCGCACTGTGATTGGTGAACACGTTGCAAACTCTTTGAGGCGCACTCTTGTGAATAGCCTGCGTTGTGAATACTTTATAAGTTTTTTACATTTAAATGTGCGATTGCGGAAAGCAAATGTCTGTATAAAAATTGAATTTTGGTTAAGAATGGAATTTGTTTCATAAGAAAAACACATTGAAACAATTTTCTTTGTGGACGTTTGCTTGCGTCTCTCTCCTCCAGTGATGGGAGTGTCCTTGCCAGAATAAGACTTCTTTTCCTCCGTGCTGTTATCGACGTTGTTGAAGCTCCATCCGACCTGAACATCATCCTACGGATGTTTGTAGATGACGTGAGGGAGCTTATCCAGAACGGCATAAACCAACCGGGTTGCTGCGAAGGGCTAGACATCAGCGGTGTTACAGTTGACTCTGGTGATTACATATATGCAGCTTTCGGTCGGGCGCGTACATGCTGGTCCCGAAGAATAACAACCAAGGTTACCAAAGGAACAATTCAGATTCAAACGGAGAGGCCAAACTTGGAAATATTCTCAGCCTTAAAATAAGTATTAACTACACTTCAGTTCCTTTAAAAATGTATAAAACAAAAGATAGAGATTTAGCACAAATTCTTTAGTATTGATCGACGCGTTTCTTTGTTCTATGAAATCGAGGCAGGACTGTTGAATGAAAAGATGCAATTCTAGACTTTTTGGCAATGATGTTGCTTCATCTGTCTCGAAATCAAAGGTATAATAAAATTGATTTTCATATGATGTTTCTTTCTATTAAAGCTACAATCGCACCATCTGGGGAAAACACAGTAACTGTTCCTGCCGATATGTCGACACAGTCGCAAAGAACCGAGACAGTGGCGCCCAGTGGACCTCAAACTAATCCACCAACTAATCCACCACCTGCCCCGCCATCTGATCCACCAACCCAACCCCGAACTAATCCACCAACCCACCAACAAACTACTCCGCCAGTCCAACCAGCAACCCATCAGCCAGCTGTAACAGCGACCGGTCCACAAACTGTCCCATCGACTAACCCACCAAGAGGCCCCACCGATGAGCTCACTGACTCTCCCACAAGTAATCAACATACCGATCCGGTGGTTGGTGTAATTGCCACTACAGCAGACTTGGAAACAACTGAAGTAGCACAGACTGGAAGCTTTTCAACAGAAGCGCCAACAGAGCCTATAACTTTTGCCACCACTCCCGACACAAGTGGTGAGTAACTGATTAAGCTTTTCGCAGTAGAGGACTTGGTTGTATTTTAAGGTCTTTCTTCTCAAATATCAGTGCTTTATTACATCACGGTGTACTTCAGCTGCTCTCAGAATCCCAAACGTCTCAGAATTTGTTTCGTTTGACAAGCGGAAAGTGTGCGCCTTTTCTCTCCCCTTTTGGCTTACAAATACACATATAAACTATAAACAATAATAAACATTTATCAGTATATTTGACTACATCTCAGAAAATGTAAATCAGTGATGTCGCTAGAAGTTGACCTAAACGAGACAAATCAGCCGAAAACCAAACAACCATGGAGCAAAACCACGAACATGCTTTTCCTTGACAATAGCTGGCTTTTAGAACTGGCAGATTCGATGTCAAACATACCGATTTGTTGGACACGCATAAATCAGGTATTGGATATTTTATGAAATCTTTCAAGGAACCAGGAAATAGAAATATTTTTTTTATAAATTGTACTAAAACCTCTTGAAATTGCATCTTTGGGTTTCAATTAACCTTATTTTGAATTTTTGTTTTGCAATTTAAACCCATATTTCGATTTTTTTGCTTTATGCTAATGCACATTTGCATATTCATGAGCAGAACTATGATGTCATCCAAGGCACTGAATCTCAACGTTGCACTGATTTGTGCACTGAAATTTTCTAGATATTTTTAACCACTGCTATGGCAAATTTTGTTTTCTGTGGCAATTTATTGCTTTGTGAGTATATGGCAATAATACAGCAAAATTCCTTTTCACAGAGATGTTCCCATATAGCAAATTTGGGATTCACAATTTAAACATGAAAACATGCAACCTGAACCTTGTCTTCCTGGATTTACATCAGAGCAAAAGCGCCCTCATTTGTCCAGAAATGCTTGGGCAATTTTTAATGTTTGAAAAAGTGCACCGCTCAGTTCATATAACTCAAAAAAGATGTCAAACAATCTTCACAAATGGAAGACGAGTACAGAGATACACAATAGAGATACAAAAGTGATTTTAAGAAAAATTCATTTCTTGGTTCCTTTAAGCAGTCTGTTTTGGGAGTTGGTGCTTGTTTTTATTTTTTCCTATGAAGTTTTCCCATTAATCAGCCATGATTATACTGATCATTCTTTTCACAAAGGACTCGAAATCATCTTTTTAAGTGCAAACGACTCCTTGACCATCCGACCTAATTTGACCTTTCCATCCAACTCCTCGACCACAACCTGGATCATCAGCACGGAGGACCAGTGGCGGATCGAAATGACCTTTGTGGAGTTCTTCGGGAAGGTGTCTCCATTCGCCCTGATCGTTGGGGACGGGAACGATCCCAAGGACCAGGCCTCCGTGTTCTACAGACGTGGATTGGGAGGGAGGGCCGTCCCTCTTCTGCTGTCGTATGGGAACTCTACTTGGGTCTATGTGCAAGGCAACCTCCCCGAAGATGGTTATTTCACCGTCAGAAGTGTTCCCGCCACAGGTAAAAGTTTCTCATTTCTACAGAGTTACAATGGTGGAATACAGATTAATGTGTAATATCATTACAATATGAATATGCATGTACAACATAAAACACAGTAGTTGTGGATTAGATATTTATACAGAATATTACCATTTATGGTAGTATATCCATTTCCCATTGCCTGTCTTGTGCCAAAGTGACATCGGTTTTTTCTCGGGCAGCTGCTCGAGAGGACTAAATTCTCAGGTTTCAGACCATTTTGTTATTGAACTTCTTTCAGGTGCCCTGACGTGTCCGTCTGATATGTGGGACTGCGGGCATGCTGTCTGTCTTCCCAACTTCCAGGTTTGCAATTCAGTTGAAGACTGCATAGATGGGTCAGACGAGAACTGCCGTCGTAAGTCTTCGCTGTTCGTGCGTTTTTATTTTGTTTGTTTGTTTTTCGTTTTTTGTTTTTTGTGTTTTGCTTTGTGTCAGTGAACTTTGTATATGTACAGCGCATGCACAAAGTACAGCGCATTGCAGACAGGTGGTGGTAAATTATGAGGTAAGGATTAAGGTGAATGGACTTGTCCTTAATTTTAGAACACAGTACAGCTTAGTAGTCCGGGATCTGTGTACGAAAAGCTCAGTAGTCAACTAGAAATAATGCGGTGGCGTGTTCCAAACTATGTTTCGAATTGTTATGATCGAACTTCAAGTATTGGGACAATACTGAAATCTCCTCAGTAGCAAACCTTCTTTTCTGCTTCAACAGAAAACTAAGAGGCTTACAAAATTCCATTATGCCGGAGAACGCTACCAGGTGTAATTCTTTTCTCGTTCTGCAACTCAGTGGAACAAGCTCCCTCAAAGGTTAAACGGATTTTAGTGTCCCTGATTTAAAAGCCGTAGGCTCTACACCCCACTCAAAAGATAAGCACCCAACGATGTGTCAGTCCAACAATCAGTCTTCATTATGTAGCCCGTACAATTGAAAGTAGATGTACGCGCACGTGTGATCGTTCTTCTCGGCGAAGCCGTCATGCTCAAATTCACCTAAAGCTCGTTGGAGCTAGCATGGCGTCAGGTTTTCCCTATTGGTGTCTGTAGAAAACTGGTCTTGCCTCGTTGGAATACGGAACATATACGGTCTCGATGTTCAAGTGAATCGAGATCCTCTGAATTTGTTCTTGTCCATGGTATACTAGGCAAGATATGGGACGGAGGGGTACCCCCTTACCTGTCCAATCCCTATACACACTC